AAGAGAGTGAGAAAGCCAGGTCCAGGACTTGAACTGCAGTCGGCCACGTTGGAATCCAGTGCCCTTAACCACCACACCACCTGCCAGTCCCCAAATAAAATAATTATTTAAAAAAGTTTAGTTCAGCGCGACATCTCCAGCCATGAGCCGGTTTGGTATCTAGCTGGTGGGAGCCACGGCGACCCTGTTGCTGCTGCAGAAAGCTCACAGCAATGAAAACCTCGACAAAACTGATAGGTCTTTGGATATCATCAAATTGAATCAAAAGGAAGGAAAAAAGCAGAATTTTCCAAGACTGAACAGAAGACTCCAGCAAAGCAGTGTCTGGCAATTCTGGATGAGAGTAGGGTGGGAAATCCAACAGAATTCTGGTTTTGGTAAGACTAATCTGAGCCGCAGAGGAAGTGTAATACCTGGAAAGAGACGTCCTTATGGAGGTGTCACTGGCCTGGCAGCCAGGAAGGCAACTGGAATCCGAAAAGGAATTAGCCCTATGAATCTCCACCTCTAAGTGACAAGAATATAGAACGATATTTTCCAGCGTTAAAAAGGCAAATCTTCTGAGACAAAATGAAGTGCAGAGGAAGCCAATTGCAGTTCTCAAGAGACCTAACCAGTTAAATAGAAAAAATAACATTCCAGCTAATTTTTCCAGAAATGGAAATAAGTCATCAGAAAGACACTTATCAGGCAACTTTTCAGAAGAGGCTTGAAGGTTCAGGCCCAGTTGAACACAGAACAACTGCTAGACGATGCAGTAGCAAAGAGAGCTCGTCAATGGCAAACTTCTACCACAACTGGAGGGATTTTGACTTTATCCATTGATAATCCTGGAGCATTGCAATGTCCAGTAACTCAGAAACCGCAATTAACTCATACTACTGTACTCTAAATGGGAGCAATCTGACATAAAGAAAGTTCCTAAAGGTGTCCCCCTACAATTTTATATCAACAGTGTTGGAAAACAGACAGGGATGCCTTTGAATGAATGATTTGGGATCTTTTTTTTTTGAGAGGTTTTCGCTATAGGGCACGTGCGCTCACCAGAGAGAGAGAGACATAGAGACAGAAAGCGAGAAATCACCCCCCAGGGGGGATGGTCATGCTGCAATCCCTTCTCCTCCATTCTCCTCTCAGGATCTTGGGCATGCACGCACACGCGCCCGGCATGAGTTTTAAGCCACGGGTCCGGGACAGGAACCACGGTCGACTACGTGGGAGTCCAGCGACATAGCCATTACGCTAACTGCTGGTTCCCAGCGATTTGGGATCTTGAAGGAACAAATAGCCACTCTCGCGTTCAACAATGGAGGAAGTCGTTTTGTAACACTGGGTTAGATCTCATCCATGTCAGAAGGATTTTTGATTGATGACTGTGAAAAGTTGAATTGCTTGAAGAGTTCATCACATAAATTCATGAAACTTCAAAATATTCACAAGCCTAACTCTTTATTATTTTTGAAACAATTTTTAAAACATCTGTTTAAAAATAAAAAAGAAACAAACAAAAACACCCTAAAGAATAACAGGGAATAGGGACCAGTAGCTGGCATAGTGGCTATGTTGCTGGACTCCCATGTAGTCGACTGTGGTTCAAGTCCCAGACCCGGTGGCTTAAACTCACACCAGGCACGTATGCATGCGTGCCCAAGATCCCGAAAGAATGGAGGAGAAGGGATTGCGGCGTGGCCATCCCCCCGGGGGGTGATTTCTCACTTTCTGTCTGTCTCTGTCTTTCTGGCGAGCACATGTGCCCTACAACAAAAACCTCTCCAAAAATAATAATAACAACAGGGAACATACCTATCTGTTCTTTGGTCCAGACAAAACAATTCAGTATTTGACTTCTTTGGTTTCTTATGCAGCAGAAAGGCAGAAAGATAGAAATGGGTTATTTTTATGATAGAGGTATTTAGGATCTCATTGCCTTTGCCTATTTTTTAGACATTGTCTTGGTAAATCTTGGTCTTCAAAAATGTGAGTAGGTCCCATTGTTGCTGTCACTTATTCTCTAATGGTGTGTTGTAATAAGTACAGTTGCCTTTTCTTTATTAGCAATATTTAAGAAACATGAGAATTCCAGTTTTGGGTTTTAAGATTTATGGGAATATCTGGAACTTGGTGCATTTTTCAGGTAGTGTTATGTTAAACTCCCCACCCCCAGTTGTAAATCTTTAGTGTTGTACTTTTAACAAGAAATGTGACTCTAGGCATTAGTTCCAATTTAAAATATTGTTCAAAGGCTGTAAGTGCATATTCACAAAGTTACCTGATAAGGCCTTGGAAGAGAAGGTCTAATATAAAAATCTTACAGTCTATGTTTAGTAAATGAAGAAAGCATGACAGGAAGTAGTAAGCTGAAAGATAAGTAACCAAGGTGGAAAACTTCCAAACGCAGGTCATAGGTATACTATTTGGATTAGTGTAGCTATGAGTCTAGTGTCCACAAAATATTCTTCAGATATATTAGAACAGTCATAATTATTAAAATAGATTGAGTCAGTTTAGATATTTTAATAGTAAAATTAATATCCATATTAATTTTATTTAAAAACTTTCTCATTTAAAAACTTTAAACGTGGGGCCAGCAAATGGCATGGTGGTTAGGTTGTTGGATTCTCATATTGCCGACCATGGATTGAGTCCTGGACACAGCAGCTTGAAAATCATGCCAGGTGTGTGCAGGTGTCCAAAATCTCGAGAGATGAAAAAAGAAGGGATTGTGGTGAGGTCACTTCCTCCGCCCCCCTACCCCCAGGGGTGTGTGTGTGTGATTTCTTATTTTGTCTCTCTCTGGCAAGTGCATGTGTGCTATGACAAAAACTTTAAATAAAACATTTTTTAATAAGCTTTTAGGCTTGCTAAATAAACAATTTACAGTTCCAGAAACAAAAATATACTTGTATATGTCACTAAAAAGTGTGAAATTACAGTCAGGTTACATTGTAAACTTGTGTACCTTTTATTCTGATTTCTTGTATGGTATAAAGTTCAGTCACTTATGGGAAGAAAAGGACTTTTTCCATTCCCTCTAGAGGAGTTGTGCCAAGGTAGTGCTAAGAGTGCTCAGATAGTTGTATACTATGAATTACGGTATAATGCCAAAAATGCAGAAAAATATTCCAGCTGTAAGTTACAAGTTGGATTATTTTGAAACCTTTTGGTTTGCTATAATGTTTAAACCTCTAAGTAGGTGTCTGTTTCTCTAGAATATATTATTGTTGAGTTTTCCTATAAAACAGAATATTATGTTAAAGCTCCTGCTTGCCTTGAGTTGTGTTTTAGACTTAACTGTTCTCCATGCTCCTTGGGTTACATACTGGCTTATGCTGGCTGTGGAAAGCTATCAATAACAATTTCATGTTATACCAAATAATTAAATCTGATCCTTAGTATCTGATATTTTGCCAGTGCTTCTACTGATAAGGAATTTTTTTTGAAGGCGGTTACAGAATTTGAAAATAAACTCTAGTCTCTCCTTAGCTATTTGCTATCACAGAGGCAAAGGATTCGTAAAACTTTCGCAAGTAAAGATACTTACATTTGATCCCAGAACAATACATTTCAGACTGGTTTAGAGTTGCTGGTAGCTAACTTTAAAGAGAAGGAAAACTGAACACAAGTTTGTTGTCTTTAGAACAATTTGTAAAAATATGATATAAAGATGTTTTTCAGTTTCCTATTGTTTTAAATAAGATTGTACAAAGCTATTATTAATGCCAGTTTTGGTAAACCTTAAAAATTACCCCAAATATCAACATTAAATGCATCATATAACAAGTGCTTTTGTTTGATATATTAAACTTTAGTTCTCATGATGAAAAAAAATAAAGTTCAGATCAGTTACTTGCCAACTGAATCAACCATATCTTGAACTGTCACAGGGTTCTTCTGCATCTGAAAAATAAGTATCATGCTAAAGCGGGAGGGGAAAGCCCGACCTTACCCTGAAACCCTGGATGGAGGATGGGCATGGATGATTGTATTTCATTTTTTCCTGGTAAGAATTTGCCTTCCCTTTTTCTACTGCCTAAAAGAGGGCATTCTGGAGAAAGGCCCAGAACAGTCTAACAATATCACTTAGGAATTCTTTGCATTTGAGTGGAAAGGGTTTGGGGGGGTTCAGAGAGGAGAATGAAACCAGAAAACCACCAATAACTGTTAGTTAGAGGCCTATGCTGGACCCAGGAAAAAGTAGAAATGTCTCCCACAAGTAAAAGCAGAATGTTCCCATCCAGTCATCTACTCTTCTTCTCTACCATTCCTTAAACTTGATGTTGCAGTCACAATCGGCAGCTCTGCCCTGGTTCTGTGGCAGTAAGGATTTGGGACCAATCATCCCCCTTTTTCTTTTATTGCCAGAAGGCATGTGTGCTCATAGAGAGGGAGAGAGAGGAAGAAAGTATCCCACAATGGGGCACATTCTTATCAGTAATCCTTTCTCCATTTGTCCATCCTGTTGAGATTCAGGCAGGGATGCCTATGTGGCTAGTTTATTTTTCAAGCCACCTGGTATGGGATTCCAACCACATGGGATCTGACTCTCTTTACCTCTCAGGCTGGCCTGGGATCAATCATACTTCTAGCCACCCCAGAAGCAGCACCAGGAAGTGCTTACAAGTGCTTTGGGAGTAGGTGCCACAGCTCAATGTATGTGTGGTATGTGGGCGGATGCATACATGTGTGCACATATAAAAACAAAACACTGCTGGCAGTAGCCCTGATTGAGAATGAGGGTATTTCCCCTCTTTCAGGCTGCTGTCCACTTTACAACCCACTAACCACAAATGATGCTAGAATTAGACTCAATGTCTATTTTTGTTGTGGCTGCAAAGGGAGAGGAATGTGGATTCTGAAATGGGAGACAGAGTTTTCTCCTCCATCCATAAGAAACTGGACTAGGCATTTTTTTTCTTACCCTCCCAAAAGCTCCTGGGGTTGCTATGTAATAGTGGTGACCAACATCAACATGTCCACACAGAGTGGCACTAGGCTCCACTGTTCTCAGGTGTTTTCAGCTAAGTTCTTACAGCTTCTAGATGTACTCACACAAATACCTTTTTTCCCTAGTGCTCCTCCCCAGCTCACAAGAGTAAGCAGGGAAGTGGGGTAAGAGTCCTAGTGGCCATTAATAATCCTATCGTCCAGTGTAGATAACTAAGAACACTAACAAATAGAGCACTATTTGTTAAAAAATCAGCTTCATTACAAAAGAATGTGGAATCTTTCTCAGCCCCTAGAATGTTACTAAAGATGTCCTTAGTCTGGGAGTCGCCGTGCCTGGAGGCTGGGCCACCTCCACAAATCACAGGCTTCGCAGAATTAGCATTGTTGGTGAGGATCTCTAGTTTTATGTTTTTCTCCAGGAACCATCTGTACTATTCCTACATTATCCTCTGAGGGTAGGAAATTATTTGACCACTTTAGTTGCTGGTAGGCAAAACTACCTAATAACCAGAATAAAAAATAATGTCCCACTTTTGGGGTATGATGTCCCTTATAAAGCATAAAAAATATACAGTCCTTAAAATGAACTCAGGGGCTAATCACCCACAGTGGTAATGTGGATGCTTAGATGACTATGTTTTTGTTTCCAAATGAGTTACAAGTACTTTTCCTACAACAGATAAGCTCATGAGAAGGTCTGCAAAAACAAACAAACAAACAAAAAAGAACACTAAATGTTGTTTTAAGCAGGGGCTTGCTTCCTACTTTAAAAAGGTGAGAGGAACTCATTCTAACCAACCAACTTTTTTTTTTTTCAAGAGAGGTTTTGCTATAGGGCGCATGCACTCCCCAGAAAGACAGACAGAGAGATAGAAAGCGAGAAATCACCCCCCAGGGGGGATGGCCACTCCGCAATCTCTTCTCCTCTAGGGATCTTGGGCACATCCGCACATGCATCCCGGCGTGAGTTTAAGCCACCGGGTCTGGGACTCAAACTGCAGTCGGCTACATGGGAGTTCAGTGACATAGCCATTATGCTAACTGCTGGTGCCATTCAACCATACTTCTTAACTATATATGACTTTTTACTTTTTTAATATTGTTGAAAATTGTCAGGATCAACTTTTTAAAAATTTATTTATTCATTCATTTATTTTAACTTGACCAGAGAGAGAGAGACACACACACACACATAGAGAGGAAAGTGAGAAAGCAAGCTTCCAGATCCGGGTCTCGAACCGTGGTCAGCCATGTGGTAGTGTCCAGCGCCTTATCCACCACACCACCTGCTGGTCCCCCACTACTTTTTTTTTTTTTAAATTTGGTAGAGGGCATGTACACTAACCAGAGACAAGAGAGGTGAGAAAGCACTACTCCCTGCCAAGGGATGATGATGTCATAATCCCTTTTCCTCTTGGAATTTTAAGCATACATACACACACATACACCCAGCATATTTTTCAAGCTGCTGAATCCAAGACTTGAACAGTGCAGTTGGTCATGTAGAATCTAGCCACCTTAACTATCAGGCCATCTATTGGTCCCATATGACGGTTTTCTGTATTCAGTCTCACTAGCCTAAGGGCAGAGACCATGTCTGCAATGTTGTTCATTGTTAGTGTAGTCAGTACTATAAACCCAACTCTAGCATATACAGCCTGGGACACAGTAGGCACCCAATACCTGTTGGTGGATGAACTGAAAGGCACATTTATGAGTAAACAAATAAGGAAGCTAGGGATGGGTGATTAAATCAGAGAGATGGGCAGGGGGCTTGTAAGACATACTAAGAACATGGTTATTTTCTTGAGGCCGTGAGGAGCTGATCAGAAAAACTTAGCAGGGGACTGGAGGGATCAGAGAAGCACTTCAAAATATAATAGCTATGAGGGAACCAGCAGTTAGCGTAATGGCTATGTCGCTGGACTCCCATGTAGTCGACCGTGGTTTGTGTCCCAGACCCGGTGGCTTAAAACTCACGCCGGGCGCGTGTGCATGCGTGCCCAGGATCCCGAGAGGAGAATGGAGAAGGGATTGCGGCGTGACCATCCCCCCTGGGGGGTGATTTCTCGCTTTCTGTCTCTATGTCTCTGTCTGGCGAGCGCACGCGCCCTACAGTGAAAATCTCTCCAAAAAAAAAAATATATATATAATAGCTATGAGAACCAGCAGTTAGCGTAATGGCTGTATCGCTGGATTCCCACATAGTCAACCGTGGTTCACATCCCGGTCCAAAAAAAAAAAAAAAAAATATATATATATATATATATATATACACAATAGCTATGGCTCCAGGGTAAAGGATTAGTCGGAGTCATGCTTGGAAGGAGGGCAATTTATTGGAGGCATGGTGCAACAATCTAGGTGATTAAACTATGAGGGTCTAGACTAAGGCAGTTACAATGGAGAGGGAGAGAAAATATAGGTCTGAGCAATATCAAAGAAGTAGACCTATAGACCTGAAAAGGAATTGGATGTCAGGCAAAGAGAGGGAGTCGGAGAGTCTCTTGCCACCAGATAAGAATACTTATCTGAAATAAGAATCTAGTGATGGAGATGAAGTGGGAAAGGTCTTGATGATGATTTAGAAGACAGGAGCTAAGGAAAGGATGTGTCTAAGGAGCAGGTCTCTGACATGGGTGAGTGGAGGGTGATACTAACTAAAAGAATTGAAGAGTAGGCAGAGGATAAAAGATTGATAATTTAGGGTTGGACAAGATGATTAGGGCTAGAAAGATACAGTATGCAGTCATGAGTCTGAAGCTCTTGGGAAAGAATAATTGCTAACACAAGATAACAAAGTCATAGCTTGAGTACTAAGGTACAGGTATTAAGTATTTACCAGATTTTTTTTTCAATTAGTCTTCACAGTAACATGAGCTAGGTAATATTCACATTCTCCCAACTTTACAAAAGAGGAAATTTAACCTCCACAAAATAATTCCCCAAGGTTGCCCCCTCAGGAGGGAGCTGAATCAGGGTGCAGGTCAATGCAGGATGACTGGAGAACTGAACTCAACTATATCAACATGAGTATGTGGGTGGTAACTGAAACCTTGGGAATGAATGATTGTCCAGAGAGCAGGTATTAAGTGAGGTGGGTACAAAACAGAAGAAAAATATTAACCAGATGGACAGAGAAAGTACAATCAGTGAAAGGGAACTCAGGGTCCTGTCATTCTTAAGCAATGCATATATTGACAGCAGAGAAATTGACCAAGGCTACTGAGAAAAAGGGGGGGGGGCATGGAGGAGGGAGAGAAAGAAGTGAAAAAGAACAGAGGAAGCTAGGAAATCCAGTGAGTACGGAGTGCTCTCTGAGTGAAGACAGACCTGGCTAGGTGTTTCCATTGAGTTCTCCTGCCAGGGATAGTTAGGTTGTTAAGCTAAAAAAAAAAAAAAAAAAAAAAAAAAAAAAAATTTTTTTTTCTCTCCCGGAGAGTATAAGGGTTTTAAAGAAAAAAAAAAAAAAAAAAAAAAAAAAAACCAAGAGAAAAAATAGCTCTTTACTATACCCAGGGTCATCAGAATTCCAAGAAATGAGTTAGTACTCCACAGGAACAAAACCTGACTTCAAATGAAGCAGTTCTCCTAGTGGAGGGGAGGGGAGGAGGTACCAGGAAAGTTAAGTGGGACAAGAGAAAAAAATAGGGAACATGACCCAACCATAAAGTGACCACAAAACCTGACTAACCCTTGCTGTCCTAGAATAATTAGGCACTTTTTGCTCTCAAGACTGTCTCAATTCAGATAAAGATTACCCTTTTTATATATTAAGACTGTCTCAATTCAGATAAAGATTACCCTTTTTATATATTAAGTGAGGGAAGGAACAGAACTAAAGAAAATCTAACCTAAGAACTGAACATTCTCTCTCTTTTGGACAGTGCTCTTCTCCCAAAAGTAACCGGAATGAGATGCCATTCTAACAGAATAGTATAGTGGTTGGTCTGGGTTTATTTGATCTGAGCTTAAATTTCAGCTCCAGTACCCTCATCTTAACTTTTCCTCAGCTTCCTGATCTCTAATACAATGCTGACAGACCTATCCCACAGTCCTGAAATGAGGACTGAGAAACATTTGTACAAAGGCCTTAGCCACTCTAAAAGCAATGATTCCCCCATATTAAGATGGTATAATGAAATGAAGCAAACTGCTAAGTACTAGGGAGCTGGGGGAATGGGGAATCATAACCTCTAGCAGCCATAACTTCCTTTATAGTTGTTCACTCACCACTTGAACTCTGGTTTGCTTTGATTTAGGTAAATGTATTTGTGATGGGGATGACCAAGACATTTGCAATTTTCTTTGTGGTCTTTCAAGAAGAGTTTGAAGGCACTTCTGAGCAAACTGGCTGGATTGGTTCCATCATGTCATCACTTCGCTTTTTTGCAGGTATATAGCTGGCTGTAAGCTTGCTATACAACGAGGACAATAAAGGGCAATTCTAAGGAGATTTTCCTGTCAGACATCTAAGACTGAAATGTTGCTAAAATTCAAGTTAAATTATTAATATGCAATGCTGAAAATATATGGACTTAACAGTGTTAACTCAGTAACTAAACTGGGAAAATTAGGGTTCAAAAAAAGTTGAATGATGCAACTACCTAATTCAAAAAAATAAAAAAAAATTTAATCCCTGTTTCTTTCCAGCTTAGTGGGCCTCAATTTAAGTTCAGTGAGTTGGCCCTCAGGCTGAAAGCCAGATCATGAAGTTCTAACGATACTCAAGCAAAATATAGAACCAATGTCTCCTTTACTTTTATCTGGAGTTATATAATACAGTAGAGGAAAATTAGTTATTAGACCTTGGTCTAGTTTCTCATAAAATGCCATCTCATTTTGTGGAAGATTTATAACGAATTTCCTGTAAGCTTCTCCTCCAAATCTATTTACTATACTCTTTAACCTCCAAAAGCAAAACAGCATGAGACTAGTAATATTAAGAAACCCAGCATAAAATCTTTTTCAAAATAAATACAACACTCTACCACCAAGCAGAATCCTCATTTTCCTTCAATTATTCATTACAATTAAACTCAAGAAGATTAAGGGATGTCAGATAACTGTCAGATAACCTTTTTTTTTTGGGGGGGGGGTTGCTACAGGGCGCGTGTGCTCGCCAGGAAGACAGAGAGAGACGGAGAGACAGAAAGTGAGTAATCACCCCCCAGGAGGGATGGCCACGCCACAATCCCTTCTCCTCCATTCTCCTCTCGGGATCTTGGGCAAGCATGCACATGCACCTGGCTTGAGTTTAAGCCACTGGATCCGGGACTCAAACCATGGTCAACTACATGGGATTTCAGCGACATAACCATTATGCTAACTGCTGGCCCCAGATAACCTTTTAATTGTCAGAGTGGCACATGCACCTTCCAGAGAAAGAAGGAAAGTGTCCCCTTCACAGGACAAGGTCATACCACAATCCCTTCTCAATTTCTCCATCGTGCCAGGACTTTGGCATGTATACATATGTTCCACATTTTTTTCAAGCCACCAGGGTCATGATTTAAACTACAGCTGGTTATTTGGGATGTGACTTCCTTAAGTTCTGGACCACAGGGCTAGCCCAGAGCACATTTACTTAGCACTTTTCTTTCTTTTCCTGAGGTCCCCTGGCTGCTGTTATTTCTGATATACTTGGAGAGAAAACTACCTCCATTCTTGGGACCTTATTTTTTACTGGTGGATATCTGATTAGCAGCTGCGCTACAAGCATTCCCTTTCTTTGTGTGACTATGGGACTTTTACCTGGTGAGTCCATGTTAAATAAATGATGAAAACTACAAACCTTCTCTTCTACTCTCTACGGGTCTTAAAGGTCTAGTTATAGACTACCTATGAGATGGCAAGAAAGTAGAGGCACTGCTGTGCAAGGCTCTTGGGGGGGCCCCAGGTTCACCTACGCATGTCTGTGATCTTGGCTGGCTACAGGGCTGGGGGAAGGATTGTGATGAGAAAATCACCAGGGCACCCGCCTAATAAAATAAACTATTTTCTTTAAACCCTAGTTATCTTGAATCCAGTACGTAATCTCATTTGATACAGAGCCACTGAATGAGAAAGTGATTCTAAACTATTGTTTTCCTTTTAGGTTTAGGTTCTGCTTTATTGTACCAAGTAGCTGCTGTGGCAATCACTAAATACTTCAAAAAACGACTGGCTCTTGCCACAGCTATTGCTCGTTCTGGGATGGGACTGACATTCCTGTTGGCACCCTTTACAAAATTACTGATAGATTTATATGACTGGACAGGTGAGTCACTTTTAAGTTACTCAACTATCAACTCTGAAAGATTTAATGTTTAGCCCTCTGTTTTTGATAATTAGAAATGAAGAGATAGAGAGCAACTGACTTCATAAGTTATTGCCAGAGAGGAAATAAGCACAATTTTTAAAGTAAACATGCACCCTTTCCTTGGAAAATACACAGCACAAGAACTACTTGCAGGTCTTGCCAGCTCATACTAACAATTCAGAGTTCATCAGAGGGTTCTATGAGGAGATGAAGGATAGGATACTCTGTGTGGCCACAAACATCTGGTGATGAAAGTGACGAGGTGGGGAAATACGCTTCCTCCTCTTCCCTTTCCTCACCAGAATATTCACAAAATTTTCATTTTCCCTGTAGAAAAAAGTCATTTAAAAAAAAATGCCTCTTCCATCAGACTCACTAAAATGGATTAAAAGGAGAAAAATGGGTAAAAATTAACTATTTCTTTAATAGTTTATCTTTTATATACTGCCAACTATAAACTTACACGAATGAATAAAAATAATTTACCCACAACCTCCTGTGTCTAAGGCAACAGAATATTCTAATTAAAATAATTACTAGAAAAAATATGCATACATACCCACATAAATGTGTGTATTCATATGCCAACTTCTATCTACATGCCAGTTTTCTTGAACCTTTTCTTTCTGAAGTAAAAAATTACTCAGTAGTCTCTTGGTGAACCAGCCTGGCTAATAAATCTGTAGGGTAGGACAGCAAAGCCTACAGACGGCCCTACTGCCAAAAGTACTTTACACAAGTCATGGCTTAGGTCCGGGCTTGCTAAAATCTACTCATATTCAAATTCAAGACTAGCATCAATCTTTTTTCAAGAACATGCTTTAAGAAAAATCACATGGGAGACCAGCAGAAGGCATAATGGTTATGTTGCTGGACCCCCACATCTACTGCAGTTCGAGTCCCAGACCCAGCAGCTTAAAACAGGCCAAGTGTGTGTGTGTGTGTACATTCCCAAAATCCCAAGAGAAGAATGGAGAAAAGATTTGGTGTGACCATCCCTCTGGAGGGTGATTTCTTGTTCCCTGTCTCTTCAACAAGTATGTGCATCCTACAGCAAAACTCTCCCCCCAAAAAACCCTGCAATGGCATGATAGGACTCTCCCCTCTTCCAAGGCTGTTTCCAAATGACTCCTAGCATCTAATTTTGTATTTTTTGTGCCTAGATCTGTACCTTGACTTCAGGATAGTTAAAATCCCTGGTTAAAACACACTGTGTTTTTAAAAAATACCCCTCCCCCTAAAACTCCCTTTTTATTCTTTTTTCCTTTAGCACAAATGACAATCTCTTCTGTTCTATTGGTGCAGCTTCTCTATCTCCAAAGGATGGTTTTTACAGGGATACATCAGTGTGTATAGTTAACAAATCAACACAGATGCTTTCAGTTAAATTCACAGGACAAAACAGGGTTTTCTTTTATTTTTTACTTTTGCTATAGGGGTAAATGTGCTTGCTGGAGAAGACAGAAAGTGAGAAATCACCCCCCCACACCCCCCCACCTCCCGGCAGAACGGGCACACCGCTATCCCTTCTCCATTCTCCTCTTGAGATTTTGGGCACACACACATGCCTGGCTTGAGTTTCAGGTTGCTAGATCCAGGACTTGAACCGTGGTCAACCATGTGGGAGTTCTGCACCTTAACTACCCCGCCACCTTCTGGCCCCCAAAATACTGTTTTCAAGAATTATTGGACTATGTAGTAGGATATGAATACTAAGTATTGTGAACTGAAAAGTTATTTTTAACTTAAACATTTGAATTTCTCATTCCTATCAGGTGCCCTTATATTATTTGGAGCTATCACATTGAATTTGGTACCTTCTAGCATGCTCTTACGGCCCATTCATATTAAAAGCAAGCACAATTCTGATACTAAAGATAAAGGTAGCAGTTTGTCGACAAGTGGTCCAGAGGCATTGCATGGGACAGAAACATCGTGCGGTAAGACACAATCTGCCATCAAGGACAGTACTACGCAGAAGGCTGAACAACCTGATCAAAGTGTACTAGTCTCACAAAATCCAACTGAAGAGTTCATCAACAGGCCTAACAGGAATAGACAATCAGTACTAAGTAATAAAGAAAGTTATGAGAAAAAAGCTATTCCATGGAAGTGCCAACAAAATCTCTTCGATATTTCTCTCTTTAGGAATCCTTTCTTCTACATATTTACCTGGTCATTTCTCCTCAGTCAGTTGGCATATTTTATCCCTACCTTTCACCTGGTGGCCAGAGCCAAAACACTGGGGATTGACATCATGGATGCCTCCTACCTTGTTTCTGTAGCTGGTAAGAAAACCCACTTCTACTTCCTACCCAAAAGGAAAAGTGAACTGATTTTTACAGAAGTTTTTATTAAGTCTTACTGAAAAGCTAAAGAAAAATAAGAAAAGCAAGTTTTCTGAGGCTAGATGAAGCACTAGCACATTCCTCCATATAAATCTGCTACCACACCTTACCCTGCTGGACGTAGCCCATAAAGCCAGTGTTACTCATTTTCATGTATGTGTCTGACACAGGAGACATGGCCCTCCATATATCCATGGGCTCCACAGTCCTTTTCCTTGTCATTACTCCCTAAATAGGTGTAGCAACTATTTACATAGCATCTACATTGTTTCAGGCTTTTTAAGTCATCAAGATAAATTATAGCACATGGGAGGATGCACCTAACTTATGTGCAAATACTGTACCATTCTGTATGAGGGACTTGAGCATCCAGATTTAGGTATATGTTTAAGAGAGAGGGATCATGGGCCAAGCCCATGGACATCAAGGAATGACTATTTGTTAGATAAATGCTGATTTTAAAAACCTGATGTTCCGTTTTAACAGCCACTCCAGGAGGCAGAAAATCCCAGGTAGACATCACAGTACAGTGGTCAAAGGATTAGTTCTGGAGCTAGACTTTCCAGGTTTTCTCTTGCTTTTTCCTAGCCATGTGCTTTATTGGCCAAGTTTCTTGCCTTCTCTGCACTCCAAATTTTATTTGTGATAGAGAAATTATAGTACCTACTCTCATAAGGTTGTCAGTATTAAAGAGTTTAGAATAGCGTCTTGCCCAACATAACCATTCAAATTAATATTTAATATTATTATTTATATTAATAACTAACCTATTAATATTTCTAACTTAATATTTCTCACCTTGAATTCACAATAGGACAAATAAAAGTAACTCTTAGGGGTCAGCAGGTGGCGTGGTGGTTGGGGCACTAGATTCTCACATGGCTGACCATGGTTTGAGTTCCAGACTTGGCAGCTTGCTTTCTCGCTTTCTATCTATGTCTAGCTCTGGTCAAACTGAAAACAATAATAATGGTAAATAAAACAAAGAAAATAATTCTTTTTTTTTTTTTTGGAGAGGTATTTTTTTCTTATTGGGCACATGTGCTTGCCAGAAGGACAGAGACAGACAGATAGATAGTAAGAGAGAAATTACCCCCCAGAGGGGATGGCCACACCGCAATCCCTTCTCCTCCATTCTCCTCTCGGGATCTTGGGCACGCACGCACATGAGCCAGGCATGAGTTTAAGCCACCGGGTCCAGGACTCGAACCGCGGTCGACTACATGGGAGTCCAGCGAAATAGCTATTATGCCAACTGCTGGTCCCAGGAAATAATTCTTTCAAAAAAAAACTTTTCAGACTATCCACTAATGACTTGTCTGATATATAAAATAGGCTGTAAATTAAAAACAATCACTTCGGTATTCATAAAAATATTGGAAACAGACTGCTTGATCCAGAAGATATGGATTTCAAATGACTAAACGGGAAATCTAAAAAAATAAGAATGGATGAGATGGAACTGTTTTGCTCTAATTAGCTTGAAATTCTCCCTCCCCTCAATTTTTCTATAGGGTATATGTGCTCACTGGAGACAGGAAAAGAGGGAAAAGTGAGAAATCACCTCCTGAGGAGATGGACATCCCACAATCCTCTCTCCATACTCCTGTCAGGATTTTAGGCATGTAAGCACATGCATGCATGTGTTTTTCAAGTCACTTGGTATGGGACGCAAAACAGTCACGTGGGATCCAGCCACCTTCACCACCACACCACTGGCTAGCCCATCTTCTTTCATTTTTTAGTAACTCAACAATTAACTTTTCTCTTCCTAATTTCCTGCAGGAAAAAAAGTAAATTTTCTATGCACTTACAAAACTGACTATACCTAGTTTCAAATGTTCCAACTGTAAAGATACTCGGCTTCAATCAAAAAAACTTTTGTAGGGACCAGCAGTTAGCGTAATGGCTATGTTGCTGGACTCCCATGTAGTCAACTGCGGTTCGAGTCCCGGACCCAGTGGCTTAAAACACGCCAAGCACGTGTGCGTGCGTGCCCAAGATCCTGAGAGGAGAATGGAGGAGAAGGGATTGCGGCGTGACCATCCCCTCTGGGGGGTGATTTCTCGCTTTCTGTTTCTGTCTCTGTCTGGCGAGCGCACACACCCTAAAGAGAAAGATAGAAGGTTAAACTCATTTTTCACAAGCATGTCTAGGGGGTATCAACTTGGATCTGACTTGGGTATACCACAGGACCAAATAACAATAACATCAAGTCTCAATATGTATCCTAATAAATAATGTAAATAACTATAAAACATTTTTAAAAAGTAGTATGTATTTTTTTATTCCCTTTTTTAATGGGGCAACTTATATTTCGGCCACAGGAAAAATCTGAAAACTGGATCTCACACTATTCCTGGTGACAATCTTTCAGTATTTAATTGTTACATTACCTTATACTAGGATAAAGGATAAGGATGTTTTATTATCATGAAACTGAGAAAAAATGTGGTTCTTAAATTTTATTCAAGAGCTATTTATAGCTCTAACGTTCAGTTTAACCTCCCATTTCAGACCTCCCACATATTTTCAAATTAAGCCTAACAACCTCTGCAGAAGACTTGATTCCTAAACACTCATATGCAATTTTAAGAGAGTCCCAGTATTTTTTTTTTTGGGGGGGGGGGGGAGAGAGCATGCAAAATAGTGAGAGATGAGGTAATTTTGACTTGGCTTCACCAAGTCATCATGTCATTACTCTAGGGCCACAAGCACAGCCTATTTTATGTTGGGCTGGGAACCAAACCTGGGCCTCTCACGTGGCCTCAGTCACAAATTTAGCAGTACACTCCTGCTTGTACCACCACAGATGATCCTATTCTTAACATGACTTTATACTCCAATCTTTTTTTTTTTTTTTTTGGAGAGGTTTTTTGCTATAGGGTGTGTACGCTCACCAGAAAGACAGACAGAGACAGAGAGAAAGAAAGCAAGAAATCACCCATGGAGGGAGAAATCTTTCTTAATTTTTTAAATGTTATTACTTTTTTTTTTTTTTTTAATTTGACCAGAGAAAGACAGAGAGAATGGGAAAGTGGAAAAGCAAGTCACCAGGTCTGGGACTTGAACCACAATCACGTGGAAGTCTAGCAATGAGATCACCATGCCACCTGAGGGTCTGATAGTGTTTTAGAAATCTCACTTTCTCACCTGCAGGACCTTTTAGAAGGAAGGTCTAGATGTCCTAAGCCCAGTGTCTACAGTAACCAGGGATTCCCAATTTATTTGTATGAACTTTCTAAACACAATCAGAAAAAATAACCACACTTTGTTGGGTCTTCTACCCGATTCTGGGGTAACCTTTTTGGTGTTTCATCAAATGTGCTTCCAATAGGTAAGTAAATGATAGATTCTGTTGGAAGAAATATGAAACCACTTTTTTCTCACATTAACCTTGGGATGCGGTCAAACTACTTAGGAAAAGACACATTAAGGGATTAGGAAAATGGCACTAGAATTTCCTAAAACATTTTGAATATTTTCCAGGTATAACTGAGACAGTCAGTCAAATTATTTCTGGATGGGTTGCCGATCAAAACTGGATCAAGAAGTATCACTACCACAAGTCTTACCTCATCCTCTGTGGCATCACTAACCTACTTGCTCCCTTAGCCACCACCTTTCCACTCCTTATGACTTATTCCATCTTCTTTGCCATTTTCACTGGCGGTTACCTGGCACTGATACTTCCTGTACTGGTAAGTACATACACTCATTAACATTGTGAGACTATTTAGTAACAACAAGTATCAATAATAATCTCCCCAAAAGATTATTCCCCCATGCTTTTTATTTTTAAAAAATTATAACAAAGACCTCAGAAATCCTGTAGCTACATTCTGTTGGAATTACTTATCTTGGGAGCAAGGACAAAAAGAGAATTATCAGCATGGGACAGGGAAAAAATGATAGCAAAAAAGGGATCAGCAGATTGCATTTTGCTTATCAGTCTCCTTGGTTAAGTTCCTATTTACTTTCTCCTTCAGCTCCAGAAATATCTTTGGCTCCATCTAAGACACAATCTTGCAGTTCGCTGGAACTCTTCAAGAGAAAAAAGGGTTTCCTGCCCAGTAGGGCTTCTATTCTTGGGTTACTGCATGACTCCTTTGTTTTTCAAGCCGCCCCCCCTCCTCCATTTTTCCCCCAAATTGACCTAACATCCTGAACCTAAATGGAACTAAAAAACTTATACTTTTCTGTTCTTGGAACCCACTGAGTTCTTAGAACCAAGTCCTAATGTTCCAGATCAGAAGAGGACCTGGGAAACCTCTGGCCTGATGTCAGTATTAGCATAAGTGCTATAGGATACTATTGTGAATCTTAGGCAAAAATCAAACTTCCTAAATCTGATTTCTTAAAAACCAATGGTTTGTACTGAGCCACAGGGAGATTCTAGAATAGCACTGTTAGATCAGATTGTAAACATCATTTCCTAAGAGAAAAGAGCAAGGTTGGGAGAAAAATGTACCCCTGAACTATCTAAAAGATCTAAAGAAAACAAAACAAAACTCAATGTTCCTTACTAAGTAACTGAACACACTGCCTGACAACGTTAGTTGTCTATTGACCTCAGCTCTCCATAAATATTCAGGACAAAAGGCCATCAAAATCGCCTCAAAAGTCAAAAGTATTCATAGTTTGAGATAATATAAACAGTATGTGTCCCTTTGTAAACAAAAGGCTCCACAGAATTTCACTCTTAACATGACTAACACCGAACTCTTAATCCCTACAGGTTGACCTTTCTAGGAATTGTGGAGTACACAGATTCCTGGGACATGCTTCTTTCTTTGCTGGGATTGCTGTCCTTTCTGGACCACCTATAGCAGGTAATAGCTTAGCCACATTCTGAGCAAATTTCAATAGCAATAAAAGAAAACACTGATACGGGATCAATGGTAACATAAATGACAATATTTGGCTAAAAGACACTTCTTCTATCTTTCCTGTACCTACTCTATCACCAATATAATTAAAGGGTTATAATTCAACAGATATGCCCAATGCAGATTTATATATTTTCTTAGAAGTCTTATCAGCAGGA